GCTGTCTAGAACATTTCTCCTCCTGCTCCTTCCTCCTCCCCTTGACTCTCCTTCACATACATGGCCGCACACACACAAAATCTCTTCTGCACAGAGTGCCCTGACAAGTTCATGCAAGGCTTAGCACCAAAAGTGCACAAGAATATGGTCCCCCGTAGGTGATGGACCAGTTCCTGGTCAGACTCTGCCTTCCAAATGGGTTTTCTTTTGTTTTTCAGGTTTCTGGAAAACAAGGTGATAAATAAAATTATTTCTTTACTCCATACTCTGTGGCTAACAAATTTAGGAGACAAGAGAGAAAGCAAGAATCAATCCCAGGAGAGCAGGAAATTTCTTCCTATTCAGCTTGTAAATGAATTTCTGTATGTTTTGATCACGTTAATCAAACACATTCGGTAAGTCCTTTGTTTTTGTTTTTAATCAATTTGCATCTTGTCCTCTCTCCCCTTTGAAATGTATTAAGGGCAGAAAAATTTCTTGATCTCTGGTAGTTCCATGCTTTTTTCCACCTTCTGTTTGGAAGTTGAGTAGTGAATTTGGATGAGATTTCTTTGACAGGAAGGTTTAGCTGTTTGATGACATGAGGAATAAAGTAACATTTGATGCACAGTTGCTTTTAAGTTCTACATCCTTAATTCCTGACCATATGGACTGTAAGGGGAAAAAACCTTGTACTTATTTTATTAATTAGCACACAGAAAAATACATGGCACTTGTGTTTTCTGTTCATAGGACTAATCTCGATCTGGCCAAGCTGACTCAGTTCTTTAGCACCCTCCGTTCTGTGCTGGAATATCGTGCTGTGGTTGTTGAGGCCTTCAGGGAGATGAGGCGTTTCACAGTGAATGAGGGAGTCCTCTCCAACAGGGAGGTGCTGCTGCTGCTGCACAAGTGGAGCCTCATCGACAGAGACTTGCAGCTGCAGGAGGACCTGCAGGCCCTTGCTCAGAAATACCAAATCAAAGAATTGCTCAGTAAGTGCTAAAATATCTCAGAGAAGGAAGACTTTGTTGAGGCTGTTATAAACCAACCATATAAGGAGGCAAACTTCCCAGGAAATAGTGTTAATAACTTTAGTTGGATGATCTGATATGGCTTGGTGGAGGAGGAAGTGAAATAGAGAGCCATTTTTCAGGTCTTCCTTGCAGCAATTTCTAACTTTAACACAATTTGGAAGCTTTGGAGAAACACAGTTTTAAAAAGGGAAAGAGCTTTAAAATGAAACTCAATTGCCTGGTATCAGGCTTTGAGAAACTGTATTCTTAAATCTTAAGAAGAAAAAGCAGTGCCTGGAGGTTTTGTGCTCAAAGGTTTGAATCGTTCTCAGTGTGGATGGGGGATCTGAAAGTGATATATGGGTAAAAACAATAAAGCAAGGGGAAATTAAATAGTTAATTTTTCAGTGTTTGAAGGAAGGAAAAATATGTCTGGACTTGTGTGACTTTTCCTGTGATCTCTGTGAATAAAATGTCCAAGTAACTTGGTGGTGAGAGGTGTAATAACAACACTGGTTTCCTGCACCTACGACTGCTCTTGGTGCACATTAAAGCTTCTATAGGTTTGTTTAAATGTTCTGTATCAGTTTAATTATGAAAGTATCACATATTTAAGGGATACTGTAAAAGCTTCAGTTTTTCTGAAGTTTTTCACACCCTTTAAAACTCCTCAGAAAGACACGAAGAGAGTTGTTGTAGTGACATCTGTAACTTACTGTATGTGTGGGTTTAAAACACAAGGTGTTGCTCCAAGCCTTGAGGGCTTCTCTCACCTCCAGGCTGGGTGATCCCGTTCAGAGCAGTGTTCCAGTCTGGAGTCCCTGGGAGCTGCCCAGAGCCCATTTGAATGGCACAGGCTCCATGAGGCAGCAAAACGAGGCTGGTACTTACCCTTTTAGCTACTGAATCAACACAGGAGACCACCTTTCTCGCATAATTTTATAGCAGGAGAGTACATAGATACCTTTGGAGTATCTGATATTTGTTTTGGTGGTGGTTTTCTTCTTACAGAAAATATTAAAGACAAGAACAAGCCCCAAGCCTCTTCTCGCGCATATCGTCACATTCGGAAGAAGAATGGGGTAGAAGATGATGACACTGCTGCAGACCTGGAAGTGTCTGAGCTGGAGAAATGCAGAGACCATCTGAATTCCATATTTGCCCACTGGGAGCCTGTTTTCCCAGCGCCACCTGCCAAACAGGGAGGGGAACCCCTCAGGCCCAATGACCTTGGGGATGACTCAGTCAGTCTCACCTGTGCATCCACTCTCATGGTCACGAAATGGCTGGTGAAGTCCATGGTGGAGTACAGCCTCAGCGAGCAGAATGTGTCACTGGTGCTGCGCTGGCTCCAGGGTTGTGTCGTGCCACAGCCGGTGGCCATGCGGGAGATGCTTAGGGATGGGACACTGAGGAAGAACCTCTTCAAGTTCTACACCCGGGTCTGTGAGGCTCAGCTCTCCAAAGAGCTCCCTGTGCTCAGCTCCATCATGCTTCAGCTCATGGATGCTCAGGGCCTGGCCAACAGCTTCCATGAGCTTGTGAAATCCTTGTGCCTCTCAGCCACGACAGAAGAGGATGAGAACAAGAAAGGTAACTTGTCTCTTCCTTATCTCTCTTGTTACAAGGCAGTAATGGGAAGAAGTAGGGAGTTCCATGGTTGTTTTTAATTCAACAGACCATTTTGAAGTTTGCCCATGTCCACTGGAGCTCATAACTTTCCAAGGTAGAACCTGTATGTGTGGTGGGATGGGCTCAGTGTGGGCAACACAGAAAAGGGTCACACTTGTGGGGCTTTCTGACAGTACAGCACTCATACTCCCACAAAGAAAATTCCCTTTCGAGGACTAAAATGGAGTTAAGTTCAAAAAATACCATTCCAAGGGGAAAAACAGTCTGCATCAAGTCCATGTGGTCATGGATGCTGATCCATGTACTGGTCAGTGTTAGCAACTGACAGATTTCAAACTGTTTTATTTAAGGAAGCTGACAGGAAACTGGTTTGTTTCCTTTGTGTGAGGGGAGTCATTGACTTTGCGTGGGCAAACCCCCCAGATTTTCCATCTGGGGAAACAGGAAACTTTTAAACCATAAGTCTGGAGGTAAATGGTTTGATATTACTATGTGGAAGTATCTGATTTTTCTTAATTTGTCTTCCACAGCTGTTTGTGTATTCCTGACATCCATTTACATCAAGGACATGTGGCTTGGAGCACAGGAGCCAGATATGTTAATAACTCATGTCAGATTGATCTGCACTAGTGCAGATGGTGAATTAAACGATGATGACTTGGAAACTCAGGAACAAGGAGAAGAAACTATTATGTCTCTTTGCAAAACCCTTTACTTGGCAACATCAGGGCATTAATTCAGAAAACTGACTCTTAATCTTTAATGTTCTGTGCTCTGCCATCGTCGCTGTGAGCCGTGAAACCCTCCTGAGCTGTCCCAATACAGACCTAACTGGTTTGGTCATAAAAGTCAGTATTTTATTATTGTTTACTGAGCAAACTCAGAGGGGGAAAATTGTATTCACTATCTCTCAGTGGGACATTGAAGTTCCAGTATGGGAACATGACATTTATATAATTTTTATTAAGGCATTTTTAACTTTATGAAGAACCAAAAAGACTGTTTCCTGCACTCCGGACCCGTGTCCAGACACAGTTCCAGTCCCTGTGTCATTAAAGTCCATCCTCTCTCCAATATAAAATGGGGAAAAAAGGCTGCAGAACGTCCCACAATGTGGTGTAAGTGCAAAGAAAGAGGAGCTGGAGGTTTAGCCATGATGATTTACTATTTCTTGAAGAACCCAGTTTATTTCATACCAAAACCAGTGTGAATAAAAGACTGAACACTGGAATCATGGTGGTCTGTGATTCTTCTTGGTTTTAAATGATATGGCTTTTGAAAGCATTTATATCAGAGCTGGTCTATTGTTATTATCCTTGTTTTTTCTTAAATTAAAAAAAGCCCTGACCATCAAGGCTGCTGGAACTTGCAGCAAAGGCCCATCTTCTCTCCACTTGGAACTGGTGAGAGATGGAACTAAACCCCAAGGGACTTGCTGCTAATTGATCATTTGTTGGTTTTAGTGAAATCTGATAGATAGTTCTGGAATGTGGCCTGGAGAGCAGGTGAACACACCAGTCCAGATCTGCAAACACGCAGGACCTGAAGCTTTGAAATGTAAACCAGGATTTATTAAATTATCTCACAACTACATGCTGTGCCCAGGTCCTTTGTACAAATTCTGTAGAGGGAAAAATCAGAACTGCACGTTCCTTGTGATGTGTATTGAATTTGTTCTGTTTTTTAAATGAAAAACATGAGACACAAGTAATGAGATTGCTTTTACATTTGAATATTCTTGTCCTAAAGAAGCTGTCAGCTCTGTATCAGGACTTGAGTTAAAAATAATATTTCTTAAAAAAGCTGAAAGCCCCTTAGAGGCTACATTTTGTTTCAGGGGGCTGACATCAGGAAATCTGTGTGAAGAAAAAAACCCTTATTTTCCTTGATTACAAAAACCAAACAGGTACAGTGAAACCAAAGGAATTCCAAAACAAAAGATGTCTTTCCATCTCACCTAACTGTCAAAGAAAATACCCATGACACAAAGGGAGGGGATTTTTTGGTTGTCTCAAGGGCCTGAGCACACTCCACAGTGGTTTATAGTATGATATGTCGAGATGTTTAAAGAAATGAGGTAAGAGCATTCCATCAACCCAAGGATAGGAGGGATCACACTTGGGGACATGGGTTAGTGGTGGCCTTGGCAGTGCTGGGGAACAGTTGGATTTGATGTTAGAGGGCTTTTACAGCCTAAACAATTCCATGATTCTCTGATTCTAATGGAGGACTCTGGGGGCAGGGGAAATAAAGTGCTCCCTGTGGAAAGCAAAGCACTGGGAAGCTTTGAAATGGGTACATATGGAATGTCACGGGAGCAAATGCATTGCTCCCCCCCTCCCCTGACCCCAAGTTGGGTGCTATAAGCCAGGGTTGTGTTTTGCATATTATTTATTATTGTTTATATACTTCATACTGTATTTCCAGGTAATTTGAAAGTTAAAAAATAAAAAAGGTCTTTTTAGTGGTTATGTGCTCTGAGCCATGTTCCAGTGCAACCTGTGGAAGAACACCTGTTGTCATGAACGGGAGTATCCACATCTTCCAGAAATCCCCTTGAAATCCCCTTGTGGAGTAGAGGATCTTATAAAACAGGGTGATACAAGTCTGTCCTGAGTCAGGGAGGAGGATGCTGGAGCAGGCAGGCCACACAGAACTGGTCAGGAGAGAGATTCCAGATGGGGCAGGAATGGTTGAAGCTGCTGCATCCTTTAGGAGGAAAATGGGTCTGGATGGTCAGGTTTTCTTCAGAGTGTCTTTGATGACACTGTGTGACTGCAGTGGAGTTACTATTGCAAGTAATTCCCAATTTGCAGCGGGAGAGCTGGTGCCAGCAAGGGAGTGGATTCTTGTCTCCTGTGAGAACTCCCTCAGCTCTGGCAAAGAGTGAGGGGGCCCCGAGAGGAGGGGGAGGCTGTTGTGGCCATCTGAGTTGGCTAATGGAAACACTTGGCTCTGATACCTCTGTCCATGCTGCACCATCAGTTTTTGCAGCCTTTCCTCTTTCTCCACACTCAGTGTGGAAAACCACCCAGCAGCCTTCACACCTGGGTGGGTTTCTGAGCCCAGCACCACTCACAGTCAGTTTGCTCACACAGCAAACTGCAGCAGTGTCTTATCTCTGGGGCTAAACAAATCTGAAGATTTAAAAAACAAACCAGCAATACAAACAACTGCCTGGCGGGTTTGGTCTGTCTCTTGTGTTCAAGGCTTTGATAATGGAGCCCAACCCACCTGCTCTGGCACCATCCTGGCCCACACTCCCACATGAGGCTGCTCTGGCAGTGCTTCCCTGGAGGAGTTTTTGCTGCCTACTTGGGGATGTGGAATTTCTATGCCTCTCCTCAAGTTTCAAATGAGTTTTGTGTTGTACTCAGCCCAGGAACTTGCTGTGTAGCCTTACCTCTCTTCCAGCCCTCGCTGCCTTCCTCAGCCTGACTCTGCAGACCAGCTTTGTGCTTCGCGGAGCTCCGAGGGCATCTCAGCCTCTCCAGTTCTGCCTGGGTTTGGTGGGGAGGAGAGCTGGGAAGAGCCAAGGCCACTGAAGGGAGAGGGAATGTGAGTGTCTCTTCTGACTCTGCTCCAGCTGAGCTGGACCCATCCCCTCCACGTCACCAAAACACTGCCGTGACCCTCAATAGTTCTGTCAAACTATTCATCAGCCTCGTGCAGAAACATAGTGTTGTTTTTGTGGTTTTGCCAGCATTTTCTTTTGATATAAAATACATTCTCCTGATATATGACACATATTCCCTTTTTCCAACACCTTGGTAACTGGCAGATACCATTTCAAGACTGTTCAACACTGACGGTTTCTTTACCATTGACCATTTCAAAAGGGAAGCAAGAAGCAATTGGTTGTTGGTAGCAAAACTGTATTTCCAGGTAGCAAGTAAAGTAACTGTTTATTCAGGAAGATAATTAGTGCAAACCACCACATGCCATTCGCTTTTTAAAGGTTCTTCTAGATAAACAGTATTTTAATAAATTTTAAGTAACCCAAGTATTTTTTTGCAAAAGTAAATAAAGGGTGTGTTCTATCCTTGGGGCAAGTACTGAGCCATTTTACTCAAATATGGCCATTAGGACCTCCTCTTATGCATCCAGGGTTTTTCAGGTTTGTTCTTTGTTGAAAGACATTTTCCTTTTTTTCCTGAATCCAGGTGTTTAACAGGCAGTCACAGCACTGAGCTTTTCTCTGCAGCCACGGGAACTGTGCTGCTGGGTTGGTTTGACCTCTTCCAGTTTTACCTCAGGCTCAGATCCTTCCAGGAATGCCCATTTCATCCGAAAGTGAGACAGGTGTTTAAGAAGCAACCACATCTGAGTATGGGCTCCTGAGGTCATCACAGTGAGGCTGTTCCCCATTGGAACTGCTTTCTTCCATCTGGCTCCCTACAATCACTTGTCTGGAATGTGTGGACAGAAAAAAGTACAGCTATCAGGGATGTGTTTGGAAGAGAGACAGTCTCAGTTTCAACAGAAAGTACATCAAAGTTTTAAAAAATAAAGAAGATGCTGCTTCTAACACAGAAGACATTGAATCCAGCATGAGAGAAGCTCTTGGAATTCAGCTCTCTTCATCCACCATGAGAACCATGTCCTTGCCTGGAAATGGAGTATGACCAACAGGAAAGGTATGAGGCGACTCCCCTCTCTCCCTCAAGATGGGACCTTCGGTCCAGCCCTTAATTCGGTCCTTTAGCGAGATTTTTAAAGAGGAAAGTAAAAACTTTGCTATGACTTGCTCTGTACCAAGGGTGAAGGGAACTGTCACGGCTGCTTCCGGGAAAGCGAAGAGGGATAAGAGCTTCCTGGGACTGTGAATGGGTGTCACTGGGGGCAAGAACAAGAGGGATGTGAGATATTTGGGAAGGGTTGCCTGACACTGGGGTTGGGAAAAAACAAGACACAGCTCTAAGGGCTGGTGGGGAACTGACCAAGGAAATGGGACAGACCTAGAAAAGAATAGATAGGACTCAAGTAGCAGGAAATTTCCAGTGTACAAACAATAACAACTCAAAGATATGTGGTTCTGCCAGAAAAAGAAGTTAGTGGTGGGGTGGAAGGGGTGATATGAGAAGAGCAGAGTGCACCTGCCTCCTCTCCTCTTTGAGCCCTCTTGCCAGCAGTTTCCCAAACTTCACCCTTAAAAAGTAAATAGCAGATGAGTCCTGACCTAGAAGCAGTAAGTTCTAGTTAACAGGGCTGAAGACAAGATCTCAACTACTACTGTATCCTTAGGCATTCAAAGGTGGTGAGGAAAATTACACTGGGAAGAAAAATGTAACCCAAAAATGACAATGGAAAATTTTTGAAAAGCCTTATTAATGTCCTGGAGCCATCCTAGCTTCAGAAGGGAGAAAGAAGACATCTTGGACTAAAACCAAGTGTTTCATTGGCTACATAAAGCTAATAACCAAAATCTAAAAAGCAAGATAAAGCAAACGGGAGAAAGTGAAATATAAACTTTATAACCTCAAATTTATATTACTTGCAAATGAAAGCTTAAAATATCTGTGCCTGACAAGACTAGCCCAACAGAGACTTTGCTTAATGGTAATTCAAAAAGCAGAAACAAAACCCCAAAGTCTCAGCAACAGGCCCAGCACAGGTTTGAGAGTTTCTTTGTTATGCTGCCAGTGTATTCTATTCATTTCTTTTCTCTTTCTTTGACAGAAGCAAGACAAAAAAACTCTTACCAAAACAGGATATTTCCAGTCCATTAAGTAGCCAAATACCATCAGCTAGCTATCCATGTTTTAAAATCAGCTGGAAAACTTGCATCTCAGAGACCCAGGGACTGTCTGAGGAGAACTCTGGCAGGGTCTGTTAATCATTAGCCATCCCTGGGACAGCAGGGAGATTGGAGGAGGCTGGAAGAGTTCCAGAGTCCCAGTACTCAGAGTGACCTGGTCAAGCCAGGTCACTCTAAGGCAGTGCTGTGACTGACCTCGGCCAAGACAAAATCACAGAATTAAATCTGAGATAAGATACAACTGAAATAGTGATTCAAAGGGCAGAAAAGCTAATTCCAGGCAGTGCAGATCTAGAGAAAGCCAAGTAGAGTGAAAAATGTCTGATGTCATTTTTTGAGGGAAGCATGATTTGAAAGACAAAGGCAGCTTCATATCCGTGATTACTGTGAGGGTGATGAGGCACCACATCTAAACACTGAGTGGAGTTTCTTACTGCGGGAGGTCTGTGTGGAGCCAGCAGAGCTCATACTGCCAGGGAGCCCAGGGGCCCTGGAGTGAACCTCTCTGAGAGCAAGAGGCTGGGAGGAGGGATGAGATAGACAGATCTTCCAACTCTCTGGGCACCCAACTTGGGGTTTTTTTTCCAACATTACGCTGTCTGGACAGCCAGAAAATCTGGGTTGTGCACAGCTGCCAGGAATGTATAGCCTCCAACAAAATGCATGGGAGACCAGTGTTCCTCTGGAGAGGTCCAGGAAGGAACTTGCCCTGGCCCCCTTCCACTGAGTGAAGGTCCAGCCTTAGCCGGGAACTGTCTCCAGCCACTAACCCTCACTTTTCTGCATCATTTTGGATGGTAAGAAACACCACTGAAGCAAGTGTTAATGCTGGCTCTGGATCCCAGCAGCGTGATCATCAGTTGCCTTGGCACACTAATGGGTTTGAAATCATTGGTCCCATGCCCCAGACCTTTTGCCTTATTTCTGTGAGATAATGTAATGGTGACAAAGGGGACTGGGACATGGATTCCACAACCTCCTCCCCTCTTGCGTCTCAAACTCACCCATCAGACTTAGCACCAAATTCTTTGGTATTGCAGAGCAATGTGTGGTGCAATCAGATCACGGAGTCGGATCCAGGACCTCTCAGTGTCTCTAACCAAGGATTAAGCTGTGGCACAAGTAGATATAGGCCTTTTGGAAGACACTTTGACACTGGCTTGCTTTCTGTGTGGATATGCAGGTTAAAAAAAGCAGACTCTGCTGTGGAGGGTGGTGTGCCCTTGCCAAAAGGGGAGACCTTTGGTGATGCAAAAATTGCATCAAAAGAGGTGAGACCAGCAGGATGAGGGAAGGGATTCTCCCTTTCTGTTCCACTCAGGTGAGACTCCAGCTCCAGCTGTGGGGACCACAACACAAAAAAGACATGGAGTTGCTGGAGACAGCCCAGAGGAGGCCACAGAGATGCTCCGAGGGCTGGAGCAGCTCTGCTCAGGAGCCAGGCTGGGAGAGCTGGGGGTTTCAGCCTGGAGAAGAAAAGGCTCCAGGGAGACCTCACAGCCCTTTCCAGTGCCTAAAGGGGCTCCAAGAGAGCTGAAGAGGGACTTTGGACAAGGGTCTAGAGGGACAGAACAAGGGGGAATGGCTTCCCACTGCCAGAGGGCAGGGTTAGATGGGATATTGGGAAGAAATTCCTCCCTGTGAGGGTGGTGAGGCCCTGGCACAGTACCCAGAGAAGCTGTGGCTGCCCCATCCCTGGAATTGTTCAAGGCCAGGTTGGACAAGACTTGGAGCAACCTGGGATAGTGGGAGGTGTCCCTGACCACGGCAGGGGGGGTGGAACAGGATGAGCTTTAAGGTCCCTTTCCACCAAACCCATGCTGTGTTTCTGTGATCCTATGAAAACATAACCTTCAGGGACACCCCAGGGATCTAGCTGACCTGTGGTGGGGGTTTGCTCCACATTCCCCTGAAGCACAAGGTGCACTCATAGGACCCGCCTGGCTTGAAAGCCAGCTCCTCTAACCTGGCCCTGAGCAAGCTGGGAGAGCACACAGTACCCTGCATGTCCCTGGGAGCGACAGAGAGATGGATGAGAACAGAAATGGTGAAGGTAAAAGTTCTCCAGCCTTGACCAGTGACGTGTGTGTGTGTTTGTTGGGTGAATGTATCAGAATTATCACAGGGAAAGAGACAGGAAGTTTCCATACAGATATTGTGTGACTGTCATGCCAAGGGTAAGGGGAGGATGACAGGGAAGGCTGGTGGAAGTTTACAGGAATTATTTCTTCCAGACATCCCATTTGGTTTCATTGCTGGAACTGGGAGAAGGGTAACTGAAGTGGGGCTTAAAAATCAAATGGAACTCAACCAAAAAGGGCAAGTTTTCTGTGTGTGTGGGTGTTGAATACTCCCTTCAGTCCTAGAATTGTTTTCTTACAGTATATTTCAAGCTTAGAAAAATGAAAAGTCTAAGCAAATCTCATCCAATAGTGCTTTTCATTAATGATTCCTGGGCACTCCACAAAACATTCCTAGACTTGCCTTGTTCACAACAGCTCTTTTGAAGGCCAAAATTGAACATATCAAGGATAAATATGGATATTTTTAAGCCAAGTATTTCACTCAGTAACATGATGAAAAAGTGGAAAAAAATCTTTAAAATCAATATTTTGTTTAAGTCTCCCAAACACACTGAGATTTTCCTGTATACAGACTTCTCCTACCAGTTTTTTAGGAATAGTAAATTATTGGGAACATACCTCCGCTATCCTGCAATTTTATGTCCATTTCCATGTTTCTTGTGTTGTTAGCCTGCCTCCTGCTTTGTGGTTTACTTGGGTAAGCTGCCTTTTTTAAGGCTCCTTGAGAAACCAATGGATTTGAGCTGTGTTATGTCACCTGCAAACCTCGTCAGTTCTTTTTATGCAGGTGATTTATGCAAACAGTGAATGGCTGTGGGTCGAAAGACACTCCAATCAAATAATTACGTAAAGAGTGTCATCTCTGTGCAATTATAAATGTTGTATGTAATTGCTGGATCATTCAAGGGAGTGAATGTCTCAGGTTATTTTATCACACTGATCTGCACTTACTTTATGTCTGGTTGTACTTACTTTACTGGAGTTGATCCAGAGCGGGACATACACAGCAAAATGAGAAAAAGTAACGTCACGAAGGCAGCAAGTCCGACCCAAAAGGCGATGACAATGGAGTCTGTGGACACAACACAGTAATCCTGTCACCAGTACCACAGCAAGTACAAAACACAGCAACATAATTTATGGTCTCTAATAAAGGTGTGTCACTTGATTGGTTCAATTTCTCCTTTTAGGGAGAGGCATCTGATTGCCAGTTTGTTAAAGGTCGTGAGAGCCTCCTAACAGGTTATTGTAACAGGGCAAGGCCAGGGCTGAGGGATGGGTCGGGAAAAAGCATCCAGTCAGTATGCTGGTGACTAGAGCTGTGCAGATATTTGGATATGGTTCCTTTTACATAGCCACAATGCAGGATGCAGTGTGGTGCTGAAGCCTGAGCTGTCACTGCCAAATCCTGCTTTTAGGGAAAAAAGTACAATCCAAGATCTTTAAGATGATGCCCTAAGAGAGGGAATTACAGCCTTGAAAGCATTTTATACCAAGAGAAATACTAAGAAAAGCTTGTTGAAAAGTGTCTGTGACCCTCACAGCACATCAGTGCAGTGGAAGAGAATGTGACCCTTGCCCTGTTCAGCTGCAGTGCTTCTGTAATCATCATAAAACAGTGCAAAAGGCTGCCTGCTTTATCAGGACCAAGTGGTTTCTTTAAGAAACAAGCAAGAGGATTCCCAGTGCCAAAGTATGTGTTCAAAAGTGGGAAAGGGGAGCATGAGGTGGCTAGGGGAGCAAAGGAAGCTGCTTTTTAATGAAAGCTACAGTGCTGTGTAAAGTACTGCCTGAGCCATGGGCTTGCTGAGAGATGGGATGAATCCACTCCTGCCCCAGGAACACATTTGGTCACTGTTTCAAAAATGGTCCTTCCTGGGATCAGGGTGGTGGTGGCCAGTGCCCAGGTTAAGGCCTCGGGAAGGTTGGGTGCTCTGCCCTGAAGTCACAGCTGGCGACTCACTTCGACTGGGGTGAAAAGGAAGGGTCACTGACTCCAGAGACAAATATTGACCAAAACAAAATAAATCTTTCCTCTGAAAGGACAGAAAACACTATGTTCTTTGAAACAGGTCCAGTATGTTTGGTTGGGTGTTTCTTTGTGAAGAAGTTCATCAGAGCTACAAAGAGATTAAGGGAATTAGCCCAGCCCCTTTTAAACCTCAAACTGGGGCTGGCTCAGCTGTACCCTTATCAGAAAGCTGAATTTTGGCTGGGCTACTGAGAAATATCAGTGTGGAGGGGCAGCTTATTTTATTCCTCCTCTGTTAAAGAAAGTTTTATTGACCTTTAATTCAGAGAACGTTAAATTAGCACGTGAAGGCCAACATTCTGACATGCTCTTCTCCAACTTATTACGGAAAAAAACAACGGGGTGATAGTGGCCAACCACAGCTCCTCAAGGGAGAATTAGGGGACTTCTGGTAAAAAAAAATCTAAAAAGCAAGGTCATGACTCCAGGATATATTGAAAAGCTCAAAATTTTGAAGTGTTCAAAGCCACTGGGACAGAAGTGAAGAGTTTGGATTTATAGAATTCTGTATCAGAACTATTTTGGTTCCTTCTTTTAAGAGCAGATTTAATATGTTTCATGGAACTCACTGAAGTTAAATAATTTTACTCTAGGTCTCAGGGGGAGTTTGAACCAAAACTTCCTGGTTTTAAGTTCTGCAATTAAGATATTTTTTTAAAAAAAGTGGAATAATATATTTTAACAATAAATAAAAAGCTTTCCTATTGCTAAATTTTACCATTACCTTTTTTCTGTGTGTGTGCATGTTTTTAAATAGCCTATTAGCTCATGGGCCAATTAAGCTTTTTAATTATTTTTATACAAAATGGAGAGAGCTGCACAACGTTATTAATAGAAAACAAGACCACGATTTTACAGCTGGATTTAGATGCATTTTCATGGAACAAACAGTCTCACAAAGCTTCAGGGACCACCCACATAATGGAGGAAAAGAAGTGTAGAGATTCAGGTCTCTGTTTTACATTAAATAAAAACAACCAACAGGCAAAATTGAATTAGGGAGCTCCAATCCCATCCCAGGGGTTACACGGACTGCACGATTCACTCGGGCTGCCCCAGCAATGCCCCTGAACAAACACTCAGGTCCCACTGCAGTCACTCAGCAGAGACCCTCTGGAACATCAATATTTATTGGGTTACTCCGATCCTGGAGGTATCCTACATTTTTACAGACTTGGAATGCTTGTTGCTATCTGAGCAGAAATGACCACATTTCATCCTCAGCGCAAAAGGCAAGGACTTGCTGAACTTAATCCACCTTCACATCCCAAGAACATGAAGGCAATAATTCCAACTGTGGCTTCTGGAGATATAAGAATGTAAATATTATGCAAACACAGGAAAACCTACAAAGTACATTCACTGCTTTTACTCAAAAACTAACCAGCTGTGGAGTTGTTTCCCTTGGTGTTTTCTTTTTAACTGGTAACCCACTGTTCTCACAGTGGTATTTGGAGAAGGAAGAATAATAGTACCAAGAGGATGCAGTCTCCATTCCTCCTGGACTGCTGACACGGCAAAATGTCAGTTTTCATCTCCTTAGAATATAAAAACACCTGAAAGGTGGCAGACTTCTCAGCTTCTTTATGGGGACAAAATAAGTGGAAAAAAACCCAGTAAGAGATTGATTTACCCTGCTTTTAATGGAAATAAGGATGATAAGATCACTCATAAGGACATGGGGTAATTTCTTCCACAAAACTCTCAACAAATTTAAATCAAACAGAGGTGAGCATCTTGTCTCAGAAGTAGAGTTTCTATGAATTTCAAGAAAACAGGCAGCTGAGTAGAGAGAAATACCCAGGGAGGAAAGTGCTGTAACACAAACACTTACTATATACCAGGCAACCCAAATGGTAGAAAAATGTTATTAAGGAGAAGAAAAAAGTGGAAAGCTTAGATTCCTGATTTTTGGTGCAGTTTGGGTTTTCCCTGGTGGAATTTGGGGGTAATCATCTGCCCTAACTTTAAAATTAAGAAAATTAGAGAAGCTACTCATAGCCTGCCTGGTCCCAGCAGAACCATTTAATCTCAGCAAAATTGAACCAAGAGAGTTACATTAGAAAAAAAAAATTATGTGCCATTTCAAGTAACCATAAAACGATGTTGCGATTTCATTGTGCAAAACTAAGTGTGAGCTATAGCAAGGCGAAGGGGGTGAATACTATTTCATATCATATCCTTTGAAAATAAACTGCAAAACGCAGCAAAATCAGCTTCCACAGGAGGACAGCATTTTCACAATAATGTATATTATTACTTTATTCATTCAGCAACCCTAAATCAAAGGAGGAAAGATAAAGGAACAGCTTTTGTTCCTGGCTAGTGGAAACATCCATTTCTTTTACTAAGGCTCCCAATGTTCGTGAGTTGCAATGTAAACCTGAGGTTGCAAGACAAAACCACAAAAGTTTTATGAAAATCTCTGCTCACTCAGTCAACTTTGTTGACAGCAGGGTACAGGTAGCTAACATCCCAAATTACAGATTTGCAAGTCATCAGATTTCCCTTGAGCAAACAACTTCAAAAAATCTGTCCTTCCAAACAAGAGTTAGTATCAGCAGTCTTAGAGTTTCAAATGCTGGAAGATAAAGTGCAGAGTTTCAGTGTTAGTAATTAACCAGTCTGAAGGCAGACACCCATCTCTACAAACCATGCCCCGGCACGGGCTCTATTGCAAGGAAACAAAACCAGGTCAGTCAGACAAGCTATGCAACATTTCACCTGTACTAGATTAGCACCTACTACTCTACAATACTTACATTTATTAACCTTCAACTTGCTTCCATCTACTGGAATTGGATCTATGTAATCCCAATAATATTCATACGACCAAAAATACTCAGAGGAGTTTGTTCTGTTAGCCATGCCAGCAGTGCATTTTAAGCTAGCTCAGAGCTCCAACCTAATACTCTTGCTTCATTGTACTTCAGTGCCCTCAGAAAGAGAATTGCATAACTGATGCCTGTGTCAATCACTCAGGGGTCCCACAGCTCAAGGACTGCTTTGGGACTGAAACAATCCAGTGGCAATGAGTATTAATGTTTGGCAGAGATGTAACAGCAGTCCTTAAAATGCAATCCTCCTTTCTTGACGGATAATTATGTTACTCCTCATCACAGTTAAACTGAGATGGATGTCAAGTAACCCAAGAATGGGATGGATAAGTGCCAGCTAGGTCACAAACCCTTCCCTCTCAGCCCCTCGCAGCAGTGCACTGCTCCTAAGAGCTCCTGAGCACAGCTGGGCTGAAAGACATCCCTGAATTTATCTGGAGGTAAAGAACTGGGGTCTCGAGGAGCGTTTGAGCATCTGAGGACACTTGGCTTGTTCATCTGGAGGAGACTGAGGTCAGGGCTTATCGCAGTCTGCAGCTTCCTCAAGAGGGGCAGTGGAGGGGCAGCTCCGATCTCTATTTTCTGGGACCAGTGACAGGATCCGAGGGAATGGCTGGAGCTGTGTCGGGGAGGGTTAGTCTGGATATTAGAAAAAGATTCTTCCCCCAGACGGTGGTCGGGCACTGGACCGTGGGTAGTGGTCCCCAGGCTCCCCAGGGCAGTGATCACGGCCCCAAGGCTGCCAGAGCTCAAGGAGCGTTTGGACAACGCTCTCGGGCACATGGTGGGAATGCTGGGGTGTCCTGCGCAGGGCCAGGAGTTGGACTGGATGATCCTTGTGGGTCCTTTCCAACTCAGGATATTCTATGAACTAGGTGCGACTTGATAAAACGCTTCGTAAACAAAGGATGTGTTGGAATAACCACATATCTTGCTTGGATTCGGTGACCTTAACACGCCCTCTCCCTCCCGGGCGAGACGCGAGCAGCCCGGGGGGCGGTGCGGGGGCGGTGCGGGGGTGGCCCTGGGGGCGGTGCGGGGGCGGCCCCCGGAGGTGCGGGCGGTGCGGGCTCCCCACTCGCGTCACTGCCGCTTCCTCGGCGGGCGATTTGAAGGCGCTGAGGGGCGTCACTGCCGCTTCCTCCGCGCGGGGCGGTCCCGAGGCCATGGCGGGCGCGCTGTTCCCGCCGTCGGAGCTGTCGGCGGAGCTGGAGTGCTCCATGTCGCTGCTGGAGGTGGGCGCCGGCAGCGCGGAGCAGCAGCAGCAGCAGCAGCCGCCGCAGCAGTGGGGGGCGGGCGCGGAGGGCGCGGACAGCGAGCTGCCCATGGTGTTCCTGTGCGCCGGCTGCAAGCGGCCGGTGGGCGACACGCTGAGCTGGGTGTCCAACGACGAGGAGGGCGGCTGCATCCTGCTGCGCAGTGAGTCCCGGCCCCGCCGCCCTGGCGTGTCCCCGCGGGTCCTCTCCCCACGGGTCCCCTCCCCGCATCCCTCCCTTTCTCCCTTCCCCTGTGCAGGTGCGGCCGCCAGCGTCTCGGTGGACCACAAGCGGAAGCTCTCCAAGCTGCCCGACGAGTGCGGATGGTGAGACGGTGTTGGGGGCGGGGGGTCCTTACCTGGGCACTGCCCTCCCTGCCCTGGGGGAACCGGGAGGTCCCGGGGAAGGCGCTGAGGACAAGCCCGGTAAAACGGCCCGGCGGGCGGGAGTGCCCGTGTGTCCCCGGGGAGCCCCTGAAACACTTATTTCGGGTGGTCTGTGCAAGGTGCTCGTGGATTAGGTCTTATTTCGGGTGGTCTGTGCAAAGTGCTCATGGATTAGGTCTGTACAAGGTGCTTATGGACTAAGGGAGAGGGACTTCTCTCAAAGGCATGTAGTGATAGGACAAGGGAATGGCCTTAAAGTGAAAGAAGGCAGATTTAGATTAGACATTAGTATTCAAAAAATCCAGGCGTTTGGAAACACATAAATAGCCAGGAGACAGAGAAGCTAACTAAAAAAAAAAATCACTTTTATTCGAATAAAAGGGAGAGTTCACTGAACAAACCTCAGTGAGGTCACTCAGCTTGGTAGGGGACTCAGCCTCCCTTTTATCCTATCTCACCCGAAAGGCAGATCCCTCCCTGTTTCTCCATTGGCTAAGATACTCCAGGGTTACAGCCTCCCTTCCCTTTTTGGCATACATGGTATCAAACTATACCTTTCATATGGAGTTGTCACGTACTTCAAAGCTGGAGGGGAGGTTACTTATTCCTTGCAGCTGATTGATTCTCTTGTTCCTAAGCAAACTACACAGATCAAAGGCTGCATAACCAGTAACTTTCCACTCTCTTACTAAACCAATTATGACTATTACAAGTTTTGCAAGAACACTCTGTTTATTTCTCGTATTAGGAAGAAATTCTTCCCTGTGAGGTTGGTGAGGCCCTGGGACAAGTTGCCCAGAGAAGCTGTGGCTGCCCCATCCCTGGAAGGGATGTTCAAGGCCAGGCTGGAGAGGGTTTGTAGGAATCTGATCTAGTGGAAGGTGTCCCTGCCATGGCAGGGGGTGGGAGTGGATGAGCTTTAAGGTCCCTTCCATCCCAAACCCTTCTGCCATTCAGTGGTTCTGTTAGTCTTGCTGAGGTCAGCCAGCCTAAGGAGCCACTGGGAATACAGGCTGAAACATGAGTGCCCATAATTACGCTGTGTAAAGCTCTAAAAAATTGTAATGCATGAATTTTTTTAGAACAAGGATGGAGGGAGGTGCTTCCTTTTATTTTCTCCTGAATAAATGTTACATGTCTTACAGCGTGGTAGAAACCTTGTTCTGCTCTGGCTGCTCGAGGACACTTGGAAACATCTACAGGTGCACCCCAAAGCATCTCGACTACAAGAGGGGTTTGTTCTGTTTCAGCATTGATTCTATTGAAAGGTACATGCAGAATGTTTATGGGGAAGTCTGACAAATCCATTTCACTCACCCGGCATTTCACTGAGGGGTGCTGCTGTTGTATCTGTGGCATATCCAGATACAGCTGTTTGTGCTGCTCTGTTCCAGAGTGATTTTCTGTGTTACTGCTGTTGGCATTATAATGCTCAAGAATGAGAAACATCGCCTGTGTAAGACAAATCCTAGAAAAAAATGCAATACCTGGGCTGCCTTTTATGTAAGAAATTGCATACCAGCCAAGAAAATAACACTAGGTACACAGCACAAGAGGGTTCCTTCTCATTTGATCAGAAGAGAGTTTGTAAAACAAGCCTGCAGTCATGGGTAGCACCAAATAGACCTGCCTATTAGCTGTTAGAGGTTAGCATTGCCAGCAGGAAACGTGGGCAGAGGGCCTGAGGCACAACTTGGTGTGGGGTCTAACCTGTACTGGCCAAGTCTGCTCTGTCCTTGCTAAGGTGGGCAAGGTATGTGCTTGAGACTCTCACTTAGCCATCTTAAAAACTGTCCAGAAAACGAAGGTGTGCTTGGGTTTAATTGGTTTATAGCACTTTAAAGTGGTCTTAAAATGTTCTTCAATAACTATATCCTGAACTAAGGCTCCACACCAGAGTTTTATGAATGTATATGCTCTAGTAAACAGTGATTGTTTCTGTCTGGGCTAGCTTCAGTGTTTTGTTTTTTCGTTAAGTTCCCATTTATTGTGCTGTATTGATGTGGCTGTTCACCCTCTTACTCTGGACAGTTGTTTCAGGTTTTTTTTCTTCATTCCACAGCTATGATACTTTGTTTTTCCCACAGCAGTAAAATTTTCTGAAGCACTAACCTGGCCACAAAACGGCACTTTCTTGGGCAGTGATGGCTGTGGCCGCTTCTCCCAGCCAGCGCTGCTCCATTCTCCATGTCTGTGTAATTTTTTGCTGTGTCTTGAAGCCCCAGAGCCCATGGCTGTCTTTTGGGGTTCTGGAGCAGCACTACCTTTGGCTTTTTGCCTTCAGAGTGAGAAGCTCATGATCTAAACTGTGGCATTTCAGCTATATTCTAGGATCCTCAGAAAAGCAAGCTCTTACTGATGAGGAGCCGCTGACTCTTGAAAGTCGAGCTGTCTTGCAAGAGGTGCTGCAAAGGGTAAGATTTAACCTTATATCATTCTTTGTTTAAATCACCTCTGTGAAATCTTAATATCCTTTAATTTTCACAGTAATTGGCATTTTCTGTTTATCGTGCACAGCATTAGATTCCTATTTACGTCTCAGTAATTTGATATTTCATTCCTAATTAGTTCTGATTCACTTCTCCAGATCTTCACTTAACTTACAGCCATGTCTCTTTTGCCTTTCGTGCAAATGCTTTTGCTGTAACTTTGTATTGAAATATTACATCATAAATCAAGTCGATGTTTTACTGTACTGAAAACTTGTGACTGCAGGTAGGGAAGGTTGGGGGCAAATAGCATAAGGAAGTTGACTGCGGAAGGTGATGGTTGTCCAGCAAAAGGTGAGTGTGTGGCTCTGACGCCAAGGCTGGAAAAAGTTACGGAGCGAACGTTAGAGTCAAGTGAGCTTTCAAACTATGAAAGTAACTGAAGTAAAATCAAATAGGATTGGTAATGTGAGATCAGATTCGAGCCCTGTCTGTCACCTACACTTGCTCTTAGTATTGTGAAATTCCGTTTGCAACCAAGTCCCTCTCCCTGGTTGTTTTGCAGGCACACACTATATTAAAAGCTCTGGAGACAAGACTGACAGCTATTGAATCGTGTGTGGCTCCTCTGCCCAAGAAAGTCTGAAAGAAATTACATGTTTAACTGCTGAAGACTGGAGAACGTGAAACTTGTCCTTGTAATCCTCTGGGATCAGTGGAAACATTGGAAAAGCTGTCAGAGAGCTGAAAGACATGAGTGGCTCATGCTGAAGTGGAACAGTGCTGAGTCTGCATCCTAGCCATCCCAGCCAACCTCTTCTTTCTCTTGAAAGGATACCCTAGATAGAAATAGATTTTTTTTTCTTAAGCAAGACTTGTGATAAATCAATCTGTAGAATTCTGGTTTAATGTAAATATTTATTTAATTTTTTTCTCTCTGAAAGCAAAGAATTTATCTCCTGACTTCCCTGATATTCAATATCTACTGAACTGGGTGTGCATTTTCCTAAACCAATGCAAAACCTCCCTGTGATGCTGTGATGT